AACAAGAAGCCAAAGGCAGGCCAGGAAGTTCAAGCAAAAGCATCACATCACCAGCACCAGTACCAGCCTCAGCACCAGCAACGACCACGGCCTTTGCAACAAGGGAACAAAACCAGGCAAAACTTCCAGCCGAGGTAAGAGCCAGAGCGGATCGCATCAACGCTGCCATGGAGTACATCATCAACCACAATCCGGGCTATTGTTACAAGTACATCGCCAAGAAGTTTGGCGTGGGCCGTCGGACACTCTTCGGAAGGGCCGCCAAGTTGAAGAAAGCTGGTATCAAGGTCCCACCCTCAAAGATTCCGGGAAGGATCTCTGGAAAGCAGAACACCTACAATACTACTACTGACAGTAGTAGGCATAAAGGGGGACAAGCCCAACAACACCAACTGCAAAACCCCAGTGCAGGCTCAGCAGAAGAGGCAATAGCAGCGATAACGGCAGAAAAGAAGAAGAAGAAGAAGAAAGAAGAAAAACATGCATGATTTATGGATTTTATGTCTTTTTGTCGGATACGAAAAGGCTCCCTCGTAAGCTCTCACAGGTAAAACGAGAGCACGGAGAAGACGCCTCCTACCAAATGGGACATTTACAAAATGTCCAAGCCCCAACGCGTCGACGCTGCCGTTGACGAATTTCTTAACGACAATCCTGGGCAAAGTATTCCGTCCATTCTCCAAAAATACGGCCTCGATCACAGCACTTTGTATCCGGGGGTTACCGCGATGGCGGCGCGAGACCGGGATCAGGACGGGAACACTGGGCTTCGGCTTAATAACGGCGGCGGCGGCAAAAGCAGTTTAACCAAGCTCCGGACCAGTAGTGGTGGCACTAATGGAAGTGCTGCAAAACTCTCTACAGCCACACAGAAGAAGACCCAGTCACAGCCACAACCACAAAGAGACCGAGATCTAATAGGTCTCAGAAGCAGCAACCGAATCAGAGACCGAAAAGCACAGAGAAGCACCAGCACCAGCAACAACAACAGTACCAGCAGAAACAAAAACGATGATGACATGCCCGATATACGTTAGATGACCAGAGGTGAACGAGCTGACGCCGCCTGGGAGGAATACCTCTCCTACAGCAACGATCAGCGGCCGAAGTCCAGCTATTTTGCGGAAAAGTACGGGATTCACAAGAGCACCATGAGCGCGAGCAAAACAGCTTTGAAGAAGCAGGGGGTAGATGTTGAGCTTTTGCTTAATCAGGGGTCTGATAATGGCAAGGCTAAGGCTAGGGCTACTGCTAAGGCTAATGCTAATGGGGTCGGGAGAATGACGGCAAGGGCCGGAGCTGAGGTGGTGGATTTGATGAGCGATTCGGATTTGGAGGAGTTGGAAGCGGAAACAGAAGAAGACGAGATGATTGAGGTTGAGAGCGACGTCATCCGGCCACAGCCACAAAAATTATCGCTCACACGTCGTCAAATCACGTCTATGGAACTATCAGATATCCAGGAACGATACCTAGTGAATTGGTACGTTCGCGAGGAATCGCTAGGGAGAGGAGCACCGACTCGGGCGAAACTCACCAGTATGGCCTTGTCGTTGCTGTTTGACGGGCAGAAACCACAGCTTGATCTTGGAGAGGAGGAATGGTTGGATGTGATCATCCGACGGTTTTTGGCACGCAATCCGGAGATCAAGGTGATGATGGGTGAGGGGGGAGGAGAAGAAGAAGAAGAGATGCCGGTGGGATGTGCGCCAGCGCCGGAGGTGAGAAAGAAGGCGAAAGAAGGAGTAAATATATTGTGGGAGCCAACGGCTGCGGAAGCAGCAGCGGCAGCCGCGACGATGGCTTACGTATCTAATGATCAAGATGATGAAGAAAATGACTTGGAAGACGAGGAAGACGAAGATGATGATGAATCAGCTTCCGAATCAGAAGACTCCGAAGAAGACGACTCCGACTCCGACTCCGACTCCGACTCAGACACCGACTCTGACACATCAACAACCGACACCTCGACCTCGACCAACCTTGACCACCTCTACAACCAAGTCTTCGTCGACTCCCTCTTCGTCAAACTCGAGGAGTCCATCCCCTCTCTACCCCTACCTTCTTCATCTCACCTATCGGATGATAATAGGACTCTTCTACCAACACCGCAATCCTCGCAGGACATCAAACAACACTATCTCTCCGCTCTGCAACGCTCATCTTCGGCAACGCAGACTGCCCAAATTGTTAAAGCCCTATGCACTGAAGCTGGAAGGGCTTTGGACCTCAAGAACTCTGAGCTAAATGTCTTGAGAGAGAAAGCGGAGCGGTTGGAGGGGGAGGTCAGGGACTTAAAGGTAAAAGTTGGACGTCACGGGTACCGATAATGCTGATTCTGGTCCTGCTGGTCTTGGTTCTGGTCTTGGCTGCGCGCTGTCTTCCGGGCTGTCTTTCGAGGACAAGGAGCAGGACCAGGAGGAGCAGGAGCGGGATCGGATGCAAGAAGAAAAGGAGAGGTCTATGAGCATAATAAGCATGAGGCTGCTGGACGGCGTGGATATGAGCATGATGAGCATGAATAACATGGTAGATGAGGAGGAGAGGGGTGCGGCGGCGGAAAGGAATGCAACCACTACTCATAAGGGGCCAAGTACTACATCGACGTCTTCAACGTTATCACCTTTTCGCTCAGCCACTACAACATCCTTGCCGCTGCCACCGGAAAGAGGAAGAGAAGGAGGAGGACAGACTACGGACAAGGACAAGGACCTTCCACTTCCTGGTGATGTTCACGAGCGGCTTTTATCGGATCACTAGCTGGTTGAGATGGAAAGAGGATCCGACAAACCGGAGACTAGCCCGGTGAGAGGGAGTATACAGGTCGGAGGACGAGGAGGCGAGGAGCTTGGTCAGCGGAGCAAGGAGAGTGAGGAGAGTGAAGGAAGTGAGAGTCAGAGTGACCGCAAAAGCGAAGGCGAAAATGAAAATGAGGGAAGTGACAGCATAAGTCTAGGATTTCTCAAAGATACCTCGACGATGATTGTCTCGCCTTCCGATAGCAGTAGGAAACGGCGTCCGCGTATGGTGGATATAGAAGTGGTGCTTGAAACAAGGAGAATGTTTGACTATGCTCACTTCGAACATATAGGCCCATGGAAAGAATAAGGATATAAAACAGGGCCCGGAGCGAAGAGGAGGAGAATAACGGAGAGATAAAGAGGCAGATGAGACGGTCTCTTGAGGGTCAATTGTTACTCATAGGTGAGTTTGTGTAGTACTGTAACTTTACGCAGGTCATGATATTCAATGGGGCGTATGGGTAGCGCGTAGCAGAAGCGCATCATGATGATAAAGAGAGAAAAAAAAAGGGGAGGGGGGGAGAACTCTACCTCTACGTATTTACTTACTGGCTAACGAACGATTTCAACTCATCGTCATGCATGGTAGATGGAAAACTGTAGAACATACACAGACTTATGAACAGAACCAACAGCAAGCATGCACTCTCCACATGGGAAAAATTTCAATAGAATAACATCCTGATATGTATCGCATGTTACTTACATAGGGCAAAGATATCTAAAATGCGTTTCTTGTCCTTTGGTTTATACACTACATTGAAGAAGAGAAGGTAAAGAAAGCATCCATGCCCACCCAATACCGAACACTAAAAGCACAGTGTCTAGCCTAGCATGATCCTGAATAACCTAACTTAAGACGGGACTCTTAACAATCCCAAACGCTACGCCCTACCGCCAGTAGTAGGTTCCCGGAAACCACTACTAATGACGGCAACCTCCGTCCCATGTAGGTGACCATTCCGCCTGCACTATTGAAATAGTTTCATGATATATGTAAACACTCCCCATTACGACCTTCGGTGATGGGGCGTTATGTAGTAACAAGCCAACAACATCAGGTATCCAAATCGTCTGTTCCACGCACCCAACCAAAGAGGAAAGCAAGATGTAAAAAAGAAAAAAAAAGAAAAAAGGGGGGTGGATGGGCGTGTAGTCGGAAGAGAACAAGTTGCTGGAAAATCCGGGGAAATGCGGAGAACAAGGACAGGGGACAGGGTACCTCTAAGGCATAAGGCGGGGCCGCCGGGGGGGGGGGGCCATTCGGAGTCATCAAGGTCTGGGCCTGACTGGGCCTCGGTCTCGGCAACATGGAGGAGACATACATATGTATCGTAAGGTGGGGAGAGGGAAAAGTGTCCGAGATACGGGGACATGTGCCTCTGCGCACTTTTTGGAGGTGATGCTCACCGGTCCGGTGTGAACAGGTGTGTGTGAAAGAACAGATTGCATCTTCTTTTGGTTTCGATGCTCAAGCTAGATCTAGGTAGGATTTTTGTGAGAGTGCTGGATGGGCGTGTTTGGTTCCGCAATTGTAAGGAGTCTAAACATCAGTGTGCAAGTCCCCCTTTCACAAGTAAACAAAGATGCACAACGCCTTACTTGTATCAATACCAACATCACCACGCTTGAATAAGGCTTGCAGTAACCCATCAGAGAAAAAATGTCTTTGTTGAACCTTAGCATTCCACCCCATCCATAGATCCATTGAGCCTAACCCATACGATATGATATGTGTAATGGTAAGTAATGGTGTACACACCTTGCCGTTCCATATAATGTTTCCCCCCCATATAATTGCTTAGAGTGATGCTCTTTCGACACGAAATCTTCTGACAACCAAAGAGTACCCCAAGTACATCTATGTCCCTCTCTTCTCTTCTCGTCTTTTACATCGAGACAAATAGCGTTTAGATATATATATCCCATCTCAGAACCCATGTGCTCATCCTAGACTTCATCTCGTGGTATCGTTCTTCTGCAGTGGACAGCCGGCTGCGTTTGCGTTCCTCATCCGAGTCAGCCAATGACCTTTATCTCAGTCCACCCCACGAACAAGTCGACTACCCCTCTTGCTTCATTAAAGAGAACAGAAAGCGTAGGCTCTTCCTCGGATTCTTCTCTTAAACTTGGCCTTCCACAGGCGTGTGTTGCTTCAGAGGCACCCGGCTTCCTGCGTCGATCAAGTTCCAGCGGTGTTGATGATCCTCGTTGACGCATTGTGATCGCACTGAATGACCTCCCCTGTCATCCAAAGGCGTCCAGTACGTTACCATAAAGTAACGAACTAATCCCAACTTCGATGTTCCACGACCCGAGTGTTTGGAAGATGGGCTTGTTCCCCGGGCATCTTAGGTCTTGAAAGATGCCCACAACTGCACGGTCACATTATGTTTAGACAAAGAGTTTACCTCGTGATGGGTATAATATAAATGACAGAGCGGCTTGGCTGGCGTGAGGTACTCTGTAGCGCGGCTCGTAAGGAAGACAGCTAATCGGAGCGTTTCCCGCTGTGGTATTTTCGACAAAATCAATCGACGTGAAAATGGCTCGGCGTCGAACGCAAGATGCGTGGGAGGTTGTTTGGATCATAGGAACCCAGACTCGGCCAAAACTCTGTAACGCAAAACCAAAAAGCGTTAACGATCCGCGCAAAAACAATGCAAAGGGGTGAACGTGTCGGCCCGGTTGAATCCAGGGCCACAAAGGGGCGTAGGAAACGACAAAGCTAGGAGTGCAAGCCAAGTTCAGTGATGTCCGGAGAAAGTACGAGCCCGGCCAAGATTGCGTGCCCATGCCGTCCTCCTTTCATCACCTCACCAAGAAAAAGGCACCCCCATTCACAGCCACCTGGCGTGATTTTGGCTCTACGTACCTGACGATCTTCTCATCTTCCCTCTCACGGGGCTCGATTTGCAAGCTCTTGTCGTACATCTCGTGCACGTCTCCGGCGGCCTGCATATTGGACAAAATATAGTCCTGGAGTTCGGATACTGGCTGTAGCGAGTATGCGACGTTTTGATATTGCTGGATATCTCCGATAACGTCTGCGGTCTTCGCCCGCTTTGCAAAGTTGATCTGGTTCGTCTTCTTCAGAATAGAAGGGATACCATCTTCAATGAAGGTAAGATCCGTAAGGTACACGCCTGAAAGGTAGCTCATGTTAGCATTCAAGCAGAAAATGGGGGCTCGCTAGGGTTCTTACCAAAGAATGGAATGCATGGAGGGTTGGATAGATGTAACGCCTCTCTGTATTCACCAAAGTTCTTAGTACTGGCCATGAGCTTTCTCATGGTTTCGAGTGTCGCAAGGACACGTTGAGGGATTTGATCCCATGTTCTCTTCAAGCGGGCAATGGGAGCGGTTCCCAATGCTGAAATGATCGACGTAAGCGTGGAGAAATTGTTGAGAGCCCGGCACTTATCGGCGACGGCAACAAAGTGCTTTATGACGACAACACGCTTCCTAACATCGGTCTGCGCCAAAATCATTTCTGCCACCCAGTTGGTCATCTGGTTAGAGTGCAGAATAAGGGCCTTGACATTGGGTGCTGGTTCTGGCTCCCCTTCGGCAACCTTCTTCTGCCACGTCTTGTTGAGACATTCTGTAGACTTGATCTTGCCGTACAGACGCGACTCGATAATGGTGAGTTGACGAGCAAATTCAGTGACATCGATATCCAGAAACTTGAGCTTCTTCATATTCTTTGGCATGATTGGCGCAGGGGTATTCTGATTGACCGTCTGGATCATGCGACGAACGTTGACTTCCTTGCCGCTCAGTCGCTGGTCCAGGACGGTGATCAAGCCTTTAGAGCCTGGTGTCTCTGTCGACTTCACTGTGTCATTGGCGAAGTTGTAGACATCGCGGATTAGCTCTTTTGTCTCATCACTCTGATCTTCCATCCAGAAGTTATCAAACCAGTTCTTGAGAATGTTGACCACTCGGAAGCGGATAAGCTTCTGCTTGCTGTCACGCCACTGCTCAAACTGAGCATGAGTAAGGCCCTCGGGTGGTTGGATGCCGAATCTCTTTACGAGTAGCTCGAACAGTTCGCGAGCCGAAGTAAAGGACTTGTACGTCAACAGGAAGGTGTTGTTGAAGTTCGAATCAAGCTTGTCGTGGCGGGTAAGCTGCTCCACCAAAGCGAGGAGAGTACCACCCTTGACGACGGGCGGCTGCACCTTTTGATCATAAGATATATCGGCTTCGTAATCCAGACGCAAGAACTCGGGCGTGTCATCCACAGGCTGGATCGGGGTGGGATCCTCTCCGAAGAATTTCTTCATCTTTGACGGGTCACCCTTCCGCTGGAATGAAGGAGCAGTAGGGTCGCCCTCTGAGAATGATGCTGAACTCATCAATACCGGTCTCAAGAAGGCAGAGTCAGTCCTCATGTGCCGCTCATATGGCAACGAATCACCTCTGTTAAGCGGTGCTCGTTGAACAGGTTCACGTGCACGAGCCTCTGCCTGTTGCTGCAAGACCATCTGGACTTGCTCTGAGAGTAGTTGGAGGGAGAAGCCAATGTGCGAGGAGTTGGTCTCCAATGCCCGAGCACACTGACGAACATAGTCTAGCCTCTCTTCCAAGGCATGGCCCCGAATCTCGGACCATTCGTCGGCGAGCGGGCCAGCGACGGCCTGGCAGCCAAGCACCAGGTCGGATATGTTGTCATACAAACTTTGCTTGTTTGTCGCGAAATCAAGGAGCTGCGGCTGCTGGAACCCGTTGCTACCAAGGCAGGAAAGGTCAATAGACTCAATCATGGCAATCCATGGCTTGAACATGTCCACGACCTTGCCACCGGCAGCGCAGATGTTGTTGCCGATAACTTCGTGCCTGAAAGGAGTCACCACCTTATCCGTGACAACCAAACTCTTGTCCAGTTCGCGAATGCTGGAAACCAGCATACGCTTCAGCTCATCCAGCCTTTCCAGCAGTTTGTTGTCGAGAATA